TGGAGACTATACAGAGAGCTTTGATATTAAAAAAGGCACGAGACAGGGATGTCCACTCTCACCCCTGCTATTTATTTTTACTCTGGAGGTATTGACTAGAAACATCAGGCAAGACATAGAAATTAAAGGTCTTGAGATTAAAGACCAGAAATATAAATTACAGGCTTTCGCGGACGATCTGGTCTTTATCTTAGAGGAGGAGCCTTTGGAAACAGCCCCTAAACTTTTGCAGAAAATTGAGAAGTTTGGGGAAGTGGCTGGATTGAAAATAAATAGGGAAAAAACTAAAGTGTTAACAAAAAATGTAACTGATAAACAGAAAACTCAACTCGCCAAAAAGACAAATCTTCAAATAGTTAAAAAAGTTAAATATTTAGGTATCTATCTTATGGTGAAATATTCATTACTAAAAGAAGATAACTATGAGAGACTAATAAAACAAATAAAAATTGACCTGGAAAAATGGGAAAATCTCCAACTATCATTGTTAGGAAGAATAGCGACTGTTAAAATGAACATTTTACCAAAGCTAATTTTTTTATTTCAAACAGTTCCCGTAAAGCTGGGTAAGAAATTTTTTGACGATTTAAACACAATGATATTAAGATTTATATGGCAAAGAAAGAAAGCAAGAATTAAATGTAAACTTCTACAAGACTTGAAAGAGAGATGGGGTTTTGGACTTCCAGATTGGAGACTTTATTATCAAGCAGCTATTTTGCTTTGGCTTAAAGAATGGATTACTCTGAGAAATAAGCGAATTCTCTATTTAGAGGGATATGACCTTCAACTAGGCTGGCATGCCTTCTTATGGTATGAGAAAGCTAAAATACATAAGTACTTTCAAAACCATGTTATAACAAAAGTTTTACTCTCTGAATGGGAGAAAGTTAGACACAAAATGTATACGAAAATTCCTGAGTGGCTTTCAACGATGGAAGCATTTGCTTATCCGAATCTGATTAATTATGATAAACTTGTTAGTTATAAAGACATTTTGGACAAGGACGGAAAACTCAAAGACAGGCAAGCCCTTCAACAACAAGGTATTGACTTAACATGGTGGTCCTATTTGCAAATTCAAACAAGATATGAAAAAGACATAAAAATAATGGGATTTTACAAAGAGCTGACTCCACTTGATAAAATACTTTTAAAAACAGATGAACATTTGATTAAGAAGCTTTATAAGTACTTATTAAATTGGAAGATGGAAGAAGAACAAGTAAAAGAGACAATGATAGTATGGGCAAAGAACTTTGGATATTCTATAGAATTAGAAGACTGGCAAAAACTGTGGGATAAAAATATCAAACTTACTAAAGCAGTAACATACAAAGAAAACTTATATAAAATGTTTTATAGATGGCATATGACACCAGTTCGCTTAGCGAAAATGTTTAAAAATTTATCGGATACATGTTGGAAATGTAAGCAAAAACCAGGTACTTATTATCATGCCTGGTGGACATGTTTATTTATTTAATTTATTTATTTAATTACATTTATATCCCGCCCTTCTCCTTGCGGACTCAGGGCGGCTGACAATAGATAAAATGCTAACATGTTATACATCTAATTAAAAATCGATTAAAAAGAAATATTTAAATACGTCCAATTTAAAAGTAAAATGTTCTATTGCAAAAAAATAGTAAAAATAGTAAAATGTTCTATTGCAAAAAAATATTGGTCTAAGATTAAATAACATGTTTTTATACAGTGCCTTTGAGGGAGATGCAATTGATCCTACCATCAAAAATCCTAAATTAAAACCATGAATCCAAAGCAAGATTTCATCTAGACCAGGGGTAGGCAACCTTGGCTCTTTTATGACTCGTGGACTTCAACTCCCAGAATTCCTGAGCCAGCACAGGAGTTGAAGTCCACGAGTCATAAAAGAGCCATGGTTGCCTACCCCTGATCTAGACCATGGGTATCCAAACCTTTGGCTTGCCTGGGCCACACTGAGTGAAGGGGAATTGTCTTGGGCCTCACATAAAGTATATAATACGGTTAACATATATAAATCATATAATAATGTTAAAAGTTTACAATCTTGTGAGGCTGCATTATTAGTTGTCGAAAGACACATGCAGTCCATGGGCTGGACATGCCTGATTTAAACCAAAAGATGGGGATGATGAGGAAAGCTATATTGATTTTAAGAGACAATATACAATTAAGCAACCATCAGTGCCTCAGAGTTTGAAAG